AGGGGAGGAGCGGAGAAAAAGTGAGCCTACTGGTGCGGCGACGACCGAGGGTGCGGAAGAGAGTTTCCTTCAGTTTTAACACTGCTACCCATCGTCCCTCCCCACCCCCATTTCGGATCCGTCAATTTCCATGCTGCGTAACTGGTTGGGATAAAAACTGCTCGTTCAAATTTCAGATATTCTGTTCTTGAATAAGATCAAATTCGAAAAAAAAGAAGAAAAACCAAGCAACCTGCTTTCCCAGCTCTGCAGAATTTCATCGACATCTGGGCGACCCGATGATGCCGGCACCAAATAACCTTCCGTAATTGATGGTCCTCTTCGCGAATCGCCCCGTCTACCATCCCGGTAACGCCTGCGATCACCAGCTCTGTAAGCATACAAACACTAACAGAAATTAATTTTATTCCACTGTAGCAACGTACTGTTTCTGAGAAGCATTTCGGAGCGGTAAAATGTCAAATGAATGAGAGGAGGTCATTTCTGAAGAATTCTGATCCCGTGGCACCCCAGAGAGTTCTGATCTTCAACTACGCTTGAAAACACAATTTAATGCTGCAAGCCGATTGTAGCATCCACGTTGACCTTGGAAGCCTAAATGGCGAAGGCGTGACAGAACATAGAAAAAGAGAAAAAACATGAGAAAAGAAGGTAAGATTAAAATAAGACGCGTTTCGATCCATTAAGTCATATACGTCTTAACTCAACACCGCGCAACAGGACCTCGTATGACACTCGCAGTGCTTAAGTTGAAAGCGAAGCAAAAAAAAAGCCATAAATCCGGATGCTTCTCATCGTTCAGCTGCTCAGCCTTTTCATTTCCCAGTGAAATAGCACCAATTCAACCAAGTTTCCAAGAAATAACTACAAGAATGATGTAATGTTCAGAAGGCTAGCACTATGCGTGATACTCAAAAGAAAATCCCCGAAGTGTTATAGAAATTTTAGAGATGCAAACAATGAATATCCCTGGCTAGGAGCTGTTGGAAGAGGACAGGGCCTGAAATTGCATCTATGCGTTAATATATGCAGTTTGTTTGGCGTTGCTGGCTCACCACCGTGGAGAGGAACACAGTAAACCTAACGAAGCTATCTATTCCAGTGCAACATCAACAGCTGATTTCTCATCCTTGCCACCACATTTTGGAATATAGGCAACTTAATGGACCGAAACATTCCATTTTTCAGCCAGCTTCCTCTCCGTTTATATTATATAATATTTTTACAAATTTCTGCGCAATAAACTCTTCCGAAATAACAGCAAAATTTATTTAAAATTTGGCCCAATCCACTCATTGCTTCTTTCCCCCGTTATGCCAGAAATCATTTTTCATTTATTTATCGGGTTACCGATCCTGACCTCGAGGAGGTGGCAGCATCCCCGCACGAAACCCCCGGAAGTTTGACCATACGGCCTAAGGCCTACCCGTGATTTGATCATGCAGGATTGGGCAGCGATCATAGCACCGAACAGGACCCGCACCCAACAGGACCCAGGCGCGTCACTCCTGCTTCCTTAT